CCACTGATAAAAAAAAACGGAGCTAAAATTGCAAGTACCTTTGCTAAGAGGCCATCAGAATAGATTCACCCTTAAAACTACAAGGAAATAACACAACAGATGAATACAACATAGCTGAAGTTGCTGTCAGGTCTTCTGAAGAATTATCTTAATTCTTGCTATTATCTCGCATTTTTATAAAGAACTGGCTTGTCTTCATAACCACTGCTAAAAAAGAACAGAGCTAAAATTCCAAGTACATTTCCTAAGAGGCCATCTTAGCCTTTATTGTTATCTTTACCATTCTCAATTAGATAAAGCCGAAATTGCTGACCTAATAAGTGATCTTAACCATTGTTGTTATTTGTACGTGTTGTAGAGAATTGGTTCATCCAATAACTACTATCCACAATAAAACAGAGCTGAAATTGCTTGCAACTTACCTGATAGCAATTTATCTGAACTGGTTTATCCTAATGAGAACGTTCCACAATAGAATGTAGCTTAACTTCCTTGCAATTTATCTAAGAGTTCGTTGCAGTTATCTACGCAGGTTCTGAAGAGTAGTTACGTTCTTATCAATATTGTCCATAATATATCAAAGTTAAAGTTGTTAGCAAATCAGCTAACATATGATTTTAACCCTTGCCAGTGTCGATTTTTGTTGTAGAGAATTGGCTCATCCTTATACTTACTAAAAAACAGAGCATTAGTTACTGGCAGCTAACCTGGCAGGTCATCTTAATTGTTACCGTTATCTTTACTTGTTGTAGAAAATTGGCTTGTCCTTATCCGTATAGTTACTGTCCTCAATGGGACAGATCTAGAACTGCCAGCAGTTTAACTGATAGGTCAGCTTAGCCCTTGATATTATTTGAAATGGTACTAGAAAACTGTTTCGTGTTTTAACTTATATTATTATTCTATAAAATAATAACGCTGTCTTGTTCACAGCGTCAGAAGCATATTAATTTATTCCGTTTGGACCATGTCACATAATTAAATATTCTACAAAAACATTAATTGTTTGCTTAATTTGTTTGTTGCTCTTCACTACTCTTCTCCAATCCTGTATTCCTAATCCAATTTGTAATGTTTTTAAAACGGTGAACACAGCACCACCCTCTTCTTTTTTTATCTCAAAGTGCTAATTACTTTGAGATAAGCTTGATTTGCTACTCTATTGACAGACCTTCTTAGTATTTGGCCCAACCATCTATGCGTTGAAATTTGATGTTTCTCGTACCGAACCTTTATTTATCTTTGTATCTCAGGGAATTTGAAATAACATAAGGTCGTTCATATGAGGAACTGTACCACGTATCCTTTTTTTAGTGTCCAAAATAAGTAAAGTAATAATTTCTCTAATTAAGATTTGGCAGAGGAAGCATATTTTTCTGTATTTGTTCTTGGATCGTTATTAATGTATCTTCCTTAGCGCTAAGTACCACTCTTAGTTATTCGAATTTATCTATCGTTCCTCCATTACTTAGATGTATCATATGTTAAGTTTTAGAACAATTTATTGTGAATCCCTTCTTATCAGTCACGCTTTCACGCATTATTTTATACGTTTTTTTTTAAATAAAGGAGAACTAGAAATAGAAGCATTTTGGGAAAATCTACCAGGATAAACACAATTCAAATTACAAATTGGTACCTATTACAATAGGAGATACCAGGATTGCAGGAACTTGTAGAAGAAAAAACTTAGAATCATCACACGAATCTTAACAGGACACTGTAAACTAAACTACCAGCTTACGAGACTGGGCATATATATGGATACAAACTAAATTCTGCTAATAGGATGAGGAGTCAGCCACATATGTGCTGTTAGAATGCTCTGTGCTAATGCACATACGGAATAAACTCCTGGGTATGTATACACTTACAGAAGAGGCAATAAACCTCTGTAAAGTAAGTTCTATACTACTTTTTATCGACAGCTTATAAACTATTTCTAAATTGAAAAGGAGGCACAAAAAACCCCACGGTCGGAGTACCTCATCCAATAACATAATAATATGTATTTTTAGATCGTATCTACTCTGTGCTATCATGACTATATCGTCCGTATAGGTAGAGATTTGAATGTTATTATTAAAAACACTTATTTAGTATCAGATCCACTAATGACGTTGTGCGGAATAAACTTGAAAACATGTGCTGGTAGTGCATTTCCATATGGAAAGTATTAGTCTAATCTTCTCCGCTAAGGACTAGTTTAAGACTAGTCATAGGCTGGCCAGACTTCCTATAGGATAAAGATTAGTTAAGAACTTACATTATCTCTCATTCTTTTTTATACATTTAGTACATTTTTAAATGTTATTTCTTTCCAAATTTTTTTGCTTCGAAGTTTAATCTAAGTACATATACCTACAAGTCGAAAGAACATTCCATTTTTTATTAAGTATTAATTATTTCCGTAATGAAACTGAATATAGTAGAAATACTAGGAATAATTTTCCATTCTCATTATCATCTGTTTTTATGAAAGAATTGTTTCTTATAGAAGAAATTCGAAGTTTTTTATTAAATTGAAATTCTTTAAAAAGAGCCGAAAGCATGTTAAGCCTGACAGTGCGTTATAAGCTTGTTTTTTTAAAGATTTCCATCTATAAATCCTTTTCTCCTTTGAAGTTGGAACTTCGAAAATTGCACCATAAGCAGCAACAATTTGTTCTTAACTAATTTTTCCTGTTACAAAAGTTCAGCGCTTAACAAAAAATTTTAAACAAATTGGCATACTTTTTACTTTAAACACTCAACTAAAGCTTAAAAGTATATATATATATATGTAATGTCTATATAAAAAAAAACATATTTGGAATGAGCAAAATTTTAGTGGGCAAAATTACAGGATACTTTTCCCATTTAAAAATGTGTGAAAGTAAAACAAAATAACTTGAATTCGTTGCATCCTTTTTGGTGTGTCTATGTGTGTGTGCCACGGATTTACGAAGAAAACTTTCCATCGAGTTTTGAGAGTTTGTACTTAGGTTCTACGGTATATACATGTAATCCGTATATTTATATATATTATATATATATATATTTATGTATACATAGACGTATGTATTTTGTTTTTAGTCGTAGCAGGATTTTACAATTGTAGTGCATTTTGTTATTAAAAAGTCTGTGACTGCCTGCAAATGCATGTTCAGGAATGGCACTAACCTGTGCCGAATGGTAAATACGAGTACCATAAAATATTTAAAATATTTTCTTTTAATATGCTATGAAAGTTTGCAACAGAAACTTAATTAGTTCAATAGGAAATTTATTTAAGATTTAATTAGTAAAGATTTGAATCAATACCAACAGAAGCAACCTAACCCCCTAAACAAGTAGTACAGAATTTTAATTGCAATACGACAGATACAATGATAGATGAAATGATGCTTGAAATATATGAAAACACAGAAAAATCACCATTTCTAAAAGAATATTTTACCAATAACAAACTAAGCAAATGTTTTTTTTAATTATCTTTTAGAGTAGTTATCGATAATACTTATGGTGGTAAAAATCTCTAAAATAACATTTGTTTATAATTGTAAGATGTCAACATTTTAGTTAATCTGTTATGTAAATGAGATCTATAAACATCCCAAAACTTAAACAATAAACACCACGTATTGCTCAATGGCTATAAACGGCTGTCATTAGATCAATACTTTTGTATGACATCACCATATGGTGGACGACCCCTGATAAATCTTCGTACTGTACTGTACTAAACAGGGTTCAGCGCAGGGCTGAACTATTTAATCTTACCAAAACCTTAAAATAAGAAACAAATCAAAGTTTATTCCTTGATGGACGACCCTTGATAAATCTTCGTATTGTACTGTACTTAACAGGGTTCAGCGCAGGGCTATTTAATCTTTCCAAAATCTTAAAATCAAAAACAAAGTTTATTCCTTTAGGAAATTCCATTCAAGAATTTTGTTGGACTGTTTTGACATACTGTAGCAACTAACAAACACAAACAGTTTGGTGCTCTACTAGGAGCTAAGTTGACTGGAGCTAAAAGCAATGAGTTCACGTCAAATCTCGTTAGAACCAAATCAATCATTCAATTCTATCGAAAATTAAGTCTTTAATAATAAAAGCGGATTTTAACCGAAAGAAGTTACTATTGGTACGACACCTTAGGTAATTTTCCGACTAAAGCGCGGGTTCAACCTTATAGCTGTGGGTTAGGTTTAGGGTTATCTGATACTGTCTAAATAGAAGTCTATCGGATTATCGTGGAAGCAGACAAGACTTCTAATCGAAATTTTTATAACTATCTAGATTTTATATGAACTAAAGGAAAATACTAGACCGGGTGATCTTATTCCCGTGTAATATTAGAAGACATTTCTCAAAGGGAGATATTTTGACCTACTTTCAAAGAGTTGAGTATATGCCATTCGATTAGAGTTAGTTACTACAACAAAAGCTTTACCATAGTCTCAGTGTTCTGTCCTATACGATGTTACGATGTCAATTGCTTAACCCTTTAGCACCATGCACTTTTTCCATACAAATTTCAATTTTCTTATGCATTTATCTAAATATGTTACTATGATGTAACTAAATCTACGAGAACATCTAATTGTAAATTAGTATTGATTTAGGCACATTCGCTATAACATCTCATTATAAATTAATGCTATTTTAGGCATATACCCTGTAATAAATATATCATTATGGCGATCATCTCATTGTTAATTTTTATTGATTTAGACGCATACGTAAAATATACCAAGATAATATATATATAAATTAAAGCAATAATAGATTTAGCTGCATCGCACTGCATTTAGATTTATTTTGCTGTTAAAGTTTTAGATAAATAAAATGGTGCATTGTTTGGATGAAAGATAATTCTTCTGAAAAAGCAATACTGTTTCCTTTACCCAAAATTATCACATATTACTATCATGTTATTGTTTATCTTTTTTTCCGTTAGATAATTATTAATCAACATGAGATACACTAAAATCAGAAGCTATGTATATACTTACCAATATATACCTCCAGATAAAACTGTTCCGTTTGATTATTTGGAGCATGTTTATAGAACGGACATGGACTATTCTTTTGGTTCTAAAGTATAATGGTGTGTGCATATCTCGTTTATAGTTGTATAGTATATATAAACGGATTGCCATGTCAAAGCGCTTTTTAATAATATTTATTGACTTTAGAACCGTACGTAAGCACTTGTTGATAAATATATGTGTCTTGTATGTTTTAAAGATTAACACACGTCACATTTGGATCCCACAATCGCTTATCCATAACCTTATTAACGTACTCTTCCAATCTTCAGATGTTATTAGGTCTTTTATGTTATTCATATGATATTCTAAATCATAATTAATGTTAAATACATTGACTTGGTGTGATAGACCGTTACAAAACCCAAGCTATCGAGGTCACTTAGTTTCTTCCATAGACTCCATCTGTAAGTTACGTATATTGTGCTTCAAACGTTTCAAAATAAGGTTGGAACATTGTATGTAATATAAATAAATATTTAATTATTATATAAAAAATATTAAGTGACACTTTTTCAATTAAAGTACAAACACAAATAAAAAAAAAATTTAATAAAATAATATTTGTCATATTTATATATACAAACTCAATTTTATTGCCATAAATATTTTGACAATAGAATAATTTGCAGTTGGTCTGCAAATACAAGACTATACGGTTCATAAATTTTAATTGACAAAGTAACAATTTCACTAATTGAACTACACGAGATTTCATAAAATTGATTTATATTTTTGATTTATAACAATTTTGTTACATATTTATTTGAGATACAAAAGGAATAATAAAATATATATTTATATACGTACGAAAGTATTATTGCAGTATTTTTTCAGCGTTGATTTGTCCCAAAGGATTTCTGCCAATTTTAACCATGCACAAACCCGGACAGCAAGTGAGCCATAAACATTGGTTTCTTATATGAAAATGTAACATATTTATAATTTATTTGCTTACCGAAAATACGTAAAAAGGTGAACCACATACACTGTCCTACACAAAATGCAAGACAAGAGTTAACTAAAAATAATAATACTTTTATTATACTCGTATATCTAAAGATTATATATTGCCTTATGAAAGAGAATGCTTTTTGACTTCTTATTTATTATACTTCTTTTTTCACTTTTTTTAAGGACTTTATTCCTGTGTACAATTTTTTGGAACTATATGGAAACATATTCAAATCTCTGTAACTTATAATCAACTACAAACAATGTCATACTATTAGCTGACTTCTCCTGTGGACATTTTTGGCTATCAATGCGGATGTCAATTTTTATAAGTACTTTTTCATTGCGACTTTCTGAATCGAACCACAATAAAAATCGATGAATAAAATATCGTTCACTCTTTCCAAACTTGGAATAAGCTAGTCTTTACGGTTTGCAACAACAACAATAATAATTATCGTATCAGCACAGATTATAATGGTATTGTTTGTCGTAATCTAATAAACAAAGTCTGTTGAACTCGAGCTTTAACCACACTATATGGCAAACATTGCAATTGTTCTGCATATCCGTATATATAATGTTCTTATATATCTTTTAAATTTATAGTGCCTGAAAGCGGGATAATTTCAAATATTTTATTGTTTTACAACAGGTCAACTTCAAATTTTACCGAGTACCGTAGAAACGTAGAAACCACTATGATAAGACTTTTTATTCCATCAAAATATAATAATATTTTGCGAATCACATTATGGAAACTATTACTGACTTCTTCCTGTGTCGAACTTTTTAATAAAAGACGTGTAGACTCAACGATATGCAGGTCTCTATATGCAATTTGACTACGTTTCAATAAAAGAAAATCCAAAATCCAACTCTCTTATTGAGATACCCGTAGAGATATCAGTATTGCGGTAGATTTACTAACAAGTCACTGTATTTTAGGTGACCATGCTAGAAGATTGAATCTCCCTCTCAATCATACAAGCCACATAACAGTGTCTTCCATCTGCTATGTTTCTGTCCGGAACATGCAGTGCACCGCTTTATCAGTTTAGTAGCTTTCTTTTTTGTTATCTTGGTCAACTGCAAGACCTCCCCTTGAATAGTATTGTAAGCTTTCCCCAGAGTTCTAAGTGGTTTTAACCTCTGACTTTTTCAATATACTATAACACAATGAGTCTATTGGACTAAGTGGATCCCTACCTACCTACCTACCTACCTATGAATCATATGTTTCTTCTGCTGTTACCTATGGTTATTAAAACAAGTAGCCATATACTTTTGGTGTGGAGTGTACACATATATGTGCAAATACATTTACAAATATCTGTACGTATATATGTAATGAATATTATTGGTACATAACATACAATTCTTTTATAATATTTGTTATTGTTTTTTGTTATCACCGTAGCGGTGGCAGTAATAAATTTAATAAAATTGTCTGCGTTTTTTTCTTCGACAAATAAAATCGAATGTGTATTGAGCAATTTTCGTTATAACTCATATAACCATTATTTTTAATTGAGTTTAAAAATATTTGTGCTTCTGTTATTATTTATGAACGTAATTGACAATTTTTCAATTGATATTTTTTAAATAAATAATAAATAAATAAATGCAAATAGTATTGTTAACAAACAAGTGAATAACTTTATTGAGTCTTTAAACATTGATATTTTAATTAATTAATATTTAAGTTTACAATAATAAACAACATATAATATTATACATATTTCAGATAAATTTATTTTTTATAGATAATTTTAAACAAAAAATTGTTAACATAATTAACTCGGTGTCCCTCTTTCAGGAAACACTAACACACACGCAAACAAATACAAGTCACTAAATAATTAAATACTTTTTATAAAATGAATAATAATTTTCTGAAAGACATAATATACTTAACATACTTAAAAGTAATTATTTATATGACAATATATGTAAATATTAACAAAAATATTTAAATTTAGTTTCAAATTGTACGAAGGACTTTTGCAAGAGGCCTTTGGGAGGCTTTATAAAATATTAACAAAAAATATTTTTTTTCGCAAATAATAAGAAAATACTGAATACGACCGAAACCAAAAACAAAACTATATTTATAAATATTTACGATTTCAATAAATATACGACGAAGAAGAAGCAAATTTCTTGTTTTGGCTGCAATTTCCATAAGTGCTGAGGAAGGATGCTGAATGTTGCACAAATGAAAATTGTGGGCAAAACATTAAACAAATCTGGTCAAATAATGAATTTCGATGTAAGTTTAAATTTCCAACTTTGTATAAATGTAGTGGACATTTGATTAAATAGCAATTTATATTAAAAATTTGTTTCGATTTAGTTATCCGGGAAGAAAAAACTACTTAAAATATTATATTGATTAAACGGATAAAAGGAATGAATTGTGCGAACATATTCGTTACTGCAGAGTGCAATTATTCAGCAGCAGCATTGATAGTAATAGTTTTACCCTTTGGATCATCAAAACGATCCATGGTGTTTATGTCCATCATCCAACAGACACCAGTAAAAATAATTGCTAAAAATATGAGCACTACAAACAAACCTGATAGTATACCTGGTGTGAAGAAGCCTACACAATGCCAAGCATCACCAAACATAAAGTTTGTATCCTTTGTAGAGCCGAAGGGTGCTTGAAATTGCAATGAATTCCATATCAAAGAACCAGACGTTGTGCCATTTAATGTCACATTACCACAGAAATAAGATAAATCTGTGGGAGCTTCAAGTGTACCATTTCTGATTGTAAAGCCGTTACTATCATATTTAAGATTACTCATAGAAAAATAACCACCGGATAGAGTTATGTCAAAAGTAAGTGATTTAGCTGTACTAGATTTTAAATTTACATTAAATTTACTTGAACTGGTGTTAGTAATATCCATTGAGTTAATTATAATATCCTCAGCTGTATTACCATTACCGCTTACATATGACAATTTAGTCCAAAATATTAGAAATTGTGCATAGTTACGGAACATAGTACCAGAAGGAGCGGCATCACGTCGAACACGTTTTTGAGCAGCAGCAGCAGCAGTTTTTGGGGATGACATATACAAATATACAGTGGGGCATTTAGTGAGCTTGGTGATAGCAGATATGGCAGCATCTTAACATAAAAAATTTATGCATTTTTATATATTAAAATTATCAACAACTTTAAGAGATTTTCTTACCATGTGATTCGAGTGCAGCAGCACGTTCGCCCAATGAGTTTTCAAAGTTCACAAGCACTACTTTTCCAGCTTCGCAGCTAATTGGAGTTTGTAGTTCACCAGTTTTAGTCACATAATTATTTTCCTGTTTCTTGCTAATTGCACGTAATGCGTCACTAGGATTTTCAACATTAGCGTAAAAAGTTTTTTGGGGCACGCCTTGCAAATGTGCATAACACGATTGTGATGTTTTTTCATTAGCACACAAAAAGTCACTATTTGCCAACTAACAAAAGTAAAAAGTTAATGTAAAATTTTTATAATAAAAGTTATATAAAACACTTACATTTTCTTCTTGGAAAGCAACAATCATGTGATCAGCTTGGTAGGGTGCAATAATTTTACCAAAATCATCTGTATTTATTGTTTGCAGCGCTGGCACCGCAGGACTTTTCAAACGATTTAAAATACAAATACATATTTACAATTTAAATACTACTTAATACTGTATAGAAGAATTTTTACACTCACCTGTTGGCTCCCCATAGAAATACGGGTGAGATCTCTGCCAAGGCAACACCGATGACGCACAAAAACGTCGCAATTAACGTTCTCGCCAACATTTTAACAAAATTTCACTTCTTTTGCAAATTTAAACAAATTGTATTGCAAATTAAAACGAAATGAAAAAGTTAAGACAAAAACAAAAGGAAATTATATGGAAAATGAAAAATAACTCAGCCACTTATTTCACTGTCCCATGAAAATTTCAGTCGACGGTCTGTCAAAACGAAAAATCCCTCATGACAGTCATGTGACAAAGATCGTCATGTGAAAAAAATAGTGGAACGCGATGAAATGAAACGAAATAGCCCACAACACCAAAGTTGTTAAATGCCATTGTAAAATTTTTAACGTCTCTTATTCGAAATATGTAATCTGTAACTCATTTATTTATATAAAACCAAAACTTAATCATAAAATATATATTATTCAAACAATTGTGATGATTAAAAACCAACAAGAAAATATTATTTGGTAAAATTAATATTTAATAACAATTTTTTTTGGAATGACTAGGAAAAGAATACAAACAAAAGCACCGAAATCTATTACAATACTCAAGCTCTCTATAATAGCATTGCTACTGATTTAATTCGTATCTAAAAAAAAATAATATAATATAATCCTTATATTAAAATCAAAAAATCATTCCTAATAACAGTTCTAAATAAAAATGTAAACATGATTACGTTTGTAGCATCTCGCGGTTTCTCTATTTTGAATTAAGGACGTGTGCGAGTTAGGCTAAGTTGCGTTCTAAATGAGGGAAATTCTAAGATGAG